TACTACTAGTGTCATTTCAGGGATTTTTTTTAGCTATGAATGATGTGTGGAATTTCAATAGAAAAAGATTCCAAAGTAGAGGATGCTGTTATACCTCTGCTATGCCAGTAGTGGTAATACCATTAATACTGGTATTGTGTCGTAATACCGACACAACTAAACGTGTCTTTTCAGTCGACGTGGGGATGACGTTGACTGAAACTACACAAGGTGCTACAGTTGTTATGGAAAATCTTTAGCCCAACACTGCTTCAACCATGCTGTGGATCTTCTTTCTGAATTTTGATGCAGTTGTCCAAGTTGTCGCTTCATGCTAGCATAGTACGGGTCAACTTCTGACAGGAATCCTAAATGATCATGTAGATACAGATTTTCTTTTCTCCCCAAAAATATGGAAAATATAAAAAAAAAGAAAAAAAAAGAAGTGGCAAGCTCAGTGTAGTTCTTACAGAACACTGAAAATACCACGATGTGTGCATTTTATCACAGTCGAGAAAAAAAACAGCATTTTAAGGTATAAATCTATGACAGAATATGTAAAAACAACCTTAGTGTTAGATTCCAGTTTATCTACAGCCCAACATTCACTGACCAGTCAAGAGGCAGTCGGTCGAGGAACTCTGGTCCGCCGCTGCAGACTGAACAGACGAAGATGAAAAACCTGAATACGAGAAAACGCCACATCATTGAAGTGAACTGCACTGGATCGTTACAATCATCCAGCATCTTCAGTTTCCTTTCAAGAGGAAAGCATCACCTTAACATTTAGCCAATGATTTCTTTACATTCAATTTCACATTTCATATTTTACAATAATTTCTGCCTTCCTCAGAAATTATTCTAAAATGATATGGCACCTTATTACACAGCTCAAATTATTGTGTTTTGCAGTAAAATTCATTACTAACAAATATTAAGATATGAATAACTTAGTAAGATCTTTAAATCACAATATAACAAACAATCTAAACCATGTCACATACTTTAGACTTTAGTGTTAAGTGTTTGCACCTATCTCCATTGAGCAGTGGAGCTTGTAAGCAATGTAGACAATCCTCATGGAACCACTGCCGACACCTGTTACACTGCAGCATCTTCAGGTACCAGCTACAAACACACACACACACACACACACAATGCTGATAAATGAGACACAACATATGATTTGTGGGACATATTTGGCAAAAGTCTTTAGCATGTTTGCAGAGTGGCATGCACTACTCACTCCCCCGGTCCTCCACAGTAGCAGTAGCATTGCTGGATGTTTGTCTTGTGGCCCTGATCCCACACTAGTTCCTCTGGAGCATATGGGAAGGAGAGATGGAATTCCATATGCTGCTCCTGATGTTCTTGCTTTGGAAAGAGCTTAGCAGATGCCTCCTTCTTGAGAATGCTCCCCTTCTGCATGTTGAAAAATAAATAAATAAATCTAAACATAAATTCAAGTGCAAAATTAAAACCTTCAGAGAACACAGCACTACATATTTCTGGTTGGAAATACAATCTGGGGGTCATATTGGCCTACATTTGGTTAAAGAAATAAAAGGACTAAATCTCTGTGTAATCCATTGTTCTAAAATCCTACCTCAGAGAAAGAAGCCAGTTCACATTCTGAGCACAGCCACTTGTCATCAGAGTCGATCACGGCGGCATCAATGATGGGCGAGTGACACATCTGATGGTACCCTGGAGGACAAACACATTTACTGTCATGTAAATAACTCCATACGTCGGCCGAAATACTAACTACTGAAACACCATTCATTAATCACAGGCTTCTGCTGCCTCTTCTTGTTTCTCCACATGAATATGTTCAGATGTAGGCAAAAGCTGAAACCCTACCTTGACCACATTTGTCACAAATGACAATCTCATTGGGTTCCTCTGAGGTCTCATCCTGACATATGGAGCACACAATGTCGTCATCGTCATCAGTCTTGTCTTCTTCGTCCCCTGAGAAGGAAAGAAATGGTCAACATAAGGAAATGATTTGCAAAACGAAGAGCAAAAACAAACAAAGCACCACAGATATTTACTAATTAAGAAACTGTTGTAAAAATAATTCAATGAAGATTGTGACTGAACTCCCGACAACGAGGGAAGTTCTCTAGCTATCCCATGCTATGGCCCCCCATTTTCCTTTAACCACTTATTTTTGAGGAAATTTGGCTAAAGCATATTTACAGACTAAGGTCTTTTATGTTAAATGCAAAATGTATTTGTTTTGTACATTTTTTATTACTCTTAATATGCTGGGGGGATTTTTTGACTGAATGACATTTTTTGAGTCTGCATACTCCAGTTAATGACTAATCAATTACTATATTAATTGTGATCATTTCAGTGATCGATTAGTCATTTCTGCTTTAAAACAAAGAACAGTGTTTTCTCACTTATATTAACTTTCAATATTACATTTATTCACCATGATATCTGCAGCATTTTAAATATGATTTTGGTTTTCTTCCCATCATATTGTTGAAAAGGACTGACTGAAGCATAATTAAAAGCTTTAATCAAACAAGGTCAGAGCAGAAATATAAGTTTCTATATTGGATTTGTATAATATGATGTACTGCAGTGGGCAGATGTGTTTTCCAGGAACATAGTTCCACTTTATAGCACAATCAAGTAACTATGTTTTCTTCAGTTGTTATAAATTGTGATATCAAATATGGCTTAAAAGAAAATTGACTTTGTAATTTAACACCTTGGAACACATTTGAAAACTCGTGCTCTTTCTGAAACTCTGCGTTCAGGAAGTCATCACTCCTCTATTAACCCTTTAACATCGTTTTTACTGACGTTGCCCTGAGAAGTAGCTCCTATAATGAGTTCAAATGCACAGTACTTGCACCACGTATTTGCTAACTACTGCTGACTAGTCTGAAGGAGCTGAAAGGGAGAGTTGCAGGAGAGGTCTCCTCTGGGGAGGCAGCACTAAGTCCACCCAGGTGTTTTACAAACGTTAATGGTTGCCACTGAAGATTAAAGGATTTCTCAAACATGCATGACAGAATTAACGCAACAATCCGGTGAACAGGGTTGCAGAGTTTAGAGCAAATTAGGTCACCATTTCTAATAGCCTTTGCTCCAGTTTTTGCTTCTAAAATGCATCATAAACAGGCTCACACACACCATCAGGCAAGAACATCGTTTCAACTGCTGAGTCATGACAGAAGAGGACAGACTTAAGTTTCTCTGCTTATCTTTCCTGAGAGGATTTTTCTTTCTCATTAAGAGAGATTACTGCTACAGCACTGATACAGCCGACCGTTAACTGTAAGGAAAGAGAGGAACTAAAGACATCTGATAATATATATTACAGAGGGCGACGCTACAAATCTTTTAAAATTAGCAGATATTGAAAAATGTTACTTTTTTGTATTCTGTTTTGTGAAATAAAGATTCAGAGTCTTCTTCAAGGTTTCATCTACTGCTTGGAAAACAGTAATTACATTCAAATACAACATCAGGATCTGATAACATTGGTGGTCAACTTCTGAGTTCATCAGCAGAACAGTAGGCTCTTTTCATTTCATATTTCTGTTGATCCTTTGGCAGCAGAGGGAACCAAAAGATTGGAGGCTTTTTCTACAGTCACTGCAGTGGCCAGATGTGTTTTCCAGGAACATAGTCCCATTTTATAGCACAATCAAGTAACTATGTTTTCTACAGTTGTTATAAATTGTTATATCAAATATGGCTTAAAAGAAAATTGACTTTGTAATTTAACAACTTGGAATACATTTGAAAACTCGTGCTCTTTCTGAAACTCTGCGTTCAGGAAGTCATCACTCCTCTATTAACCCTTTAACATCGTTTTTACTGACGTTGCCCTGAGAAGTAGAATTAGTAGAATTAAAGCAACAATCCAGTGACGTTTAAGATGAGGGAACAACATTATAACATGATGTAAAGCTTCAAAAAAGTTAATTTTAAATAATTCTGTCCCTCCAATATCCGTCTTTGTGTTTCGTTTTAATTTTCTGCAAGCCAACACTACTTTAAAGACACAGAAATGAATGAACCAAAATGCAGACGCTGAAACCGGGAGAGTTCACCTGTTTGAATATCGCTCCAAAGAACCCAAGACTTCGATCTGTCCTCAAAAACCACAAAGCAACGCTGCTTGTCCCGATCTATCTGGAAAAAGAAAAAAAAAAAGACAAAGAAAAAGAGAGATTAGCACCTTTCTGGCAGACACAAGAAGAAAAAGACAACAAAATCTTGTTTTTTTTTGTAAGACATTTCAAGCACCACCATCATCACACCAACCTTTGTGACTGTCCCCAAATAAAACAAGCCATCAGACCACCGAGCCAATACGTCCTGCCCCTCTGTAAACCTGGCAGACATGTCGTCCTCCCCATACTCCTCCCTAGCAGAGAGGCCGCAGGGTGACAGGGACACGTTCTGCTGCTGCTGCTGCTCAGGGTGAGCTCTGTGATGGAGAGAAGGATGATCCACAACCCCCAAGTCTCTGAAAACAGGAAGCGAAACACAATAGAGGACATGCGCACACATATACACTGGGAGTATATGTATACTCCCAGTGAGTATAGGTAAACTCACTGGGATTCATTCTAAACCATATAGAAGTGCTGAAAGGGGTTATGTCACTGTAAATGCAAGTACACAAGATTTATTTGCAACAAGCTGAAAATAGGCAATGCAGTCATCAGCACTGCAAAGGTGCCCAAAATGTGGAAGCAGGTTGGTTTGTGGACAAATACGAGGTCCTGAGAATATGTTGTGGGATTTTGAACATAAAAGGCTGCATTGTTTTGTCCCAAAGCTTACAAAACAAAGAGGAAAGCCAAGTCTTCCTTCAGTGAGCATATGCAACTGGTGATTAGGATCATAATTAGTGCTAATTGCCAATTAAATATATGCGTGGGCGCTGAGTATAAGATAACTGAGAGCAAAATTAAAATTTTACATTTTCCTTTAACCACTTATTTTTAATCTGTTTGACTACAAATATGTGTTTTGTGGTTTTATGTTCTGCTTCAGTGATTTCTGTTTTTAAAGGGCAGATTTCCTTTCTTGAGCCGCTTCTCTTCAGTCCTTTGTCTCTATAACGACGGAACAAAAAAAAAGCAACCAGCAGAGAGTATAAAAGGCAAATCCAGCACTTCTTCTGCATTACGGAAAACGCGATGTTTTTCAAATGGAAATCCAGGTGATGTTGATAGTCCGAACAGCCGACATGCAAAGCGGTTCCCCAGGCCAGGTCACTGACCGTCGGACCCACACCCCCCCTTTAGCAGCGAGAGGAAAACATGACAACAATACCTCATTCGGTCACCTCCGCTGTTCCAAATGCCTCGCGAGACGAAAAAGCTGAAAAGGCGCGAGGCTGTTTTCCCGCTGCTGCCGTGGCGTATACGTATATCTAGTGCGTGCCCAGACAATCCACAGCGCTCGAGCCTGCCTTAGAAAATAACAAACGGTTCATTTTCCCCCAGCACGTTCGCCATTTTGGTTTCCCGCTGATGAACGGGGAGTGCATTGTGGGAAGCGTTGCTGCTGGTGGGCTGCTGCCCGCACCATTTTCAAACATTTGAAATTGTAGGCAGGGCGCCTATGAAACCCTGCGTATCCGCCTCTGAAGCAAGAGTGACATCGACTTTATCTTTACAACTTCAAGTTTTATTGCTTAATTATAATAATGTAGAAATACTAACAATTTATGAGATTTTTTTTATGTGTCAACTTATATTCTCAAATAGAATATTTAATTAGGAGAACCGAATATTCTCCTAATTAGCTCGTGTATTTTTCGGCTACTTTTGGCATTAACAGCTCAGGGGACTGACATTTGTTTTAAGCTTGTTATCATGACCGGAAGTTGCACTTGGATCAGGTTTCCTCTGGGGCTTTTCAGGAACCTTAAAGGGCGTTTCTGCTCCAAAGTGGATGATTTTATCCCTAAGCCGTTTGATTGCTCACAGTGGAATATGACTCTCCCATTTATCAAATATATTTCTGTAATCTTTAGTCATAACCAGAACAACATTCTGGTTATAAAAGTAAGTCAGTTTATTTGTAAATGTTTTTGACCGATACTTCAGTAGCTCACCCTCAGAGTCATGACCCCGAGCAGCAGAAGTAAACGTGGTGTCATCCCATAAATGTTTCAGGATGACATGGCAGAGACGCAGTTATTCAATTGTTTGTTTGAAACAATTAAATAACCATCCCTAGAGGAAGGCTGGAAACTGCAACAGAGTTATTTCAGGGTGTGAAGGAGGCAATTCATCTAAAGCCAGTCAAACCTGGGCATATAGGATATTTCTCGTTTCATAAATTATGGATAATTAATTTCGTTTTATATCTATATATTAAACATTTTGTCATAATGTTTGAATTGACTGCTATTTTAATCCCTATTGCCACTTAAAAGATATTAAAAATAATTCTATTAGACTTTCTGATAAATATTAATTATTGCAGTCACATAACCACATTTCCTTAACATACAATATAGAACATCAAAATATTTGCTTAAAATTGTCATTTGTCTAAACCGCTATAAGTCATCCCATTGGAAATTAATGTACTATAAAAGACGATGTATTTCTTGCATTTAAAAAGTCAAGTATGACAATTACAAAACTGTAAAAATTCAAAATGACCAAATGGCCAGATTCTCAATAGAATTCTTCTGTGAACTGAGTCTTTTTCCCCTTCACTGTTTCCTCCCTTTGCATTTTTCATTGTTCTGTAGCCAACTTTTTCTGGTTCGAAAAGGTCATCTGCTACAGCTAGGGGACATCTCCTACCAACCATTCCTCTTTTGTATACCTTCTCTTCGCTTGTATTACTCAGATAAATATTTGTCCAAAAGCTCATTTGTTTTTACTGATTCACCCATTGTCACTTCCTGATTTTAATACCGATCTGATTTTACCCAACAAAGAAAAAGCCAAGAGAATTACACCTTGAAACTCAGCCGTTCAGACAGCAGACCATGCTTTTTAATGGAATACCAGCAGTGATTGTAGAAAATTCAGGAGACTGAACTGACATTTATATAGAAACCTTTACAGGAATTGAGGGAAATGAGTTGGCAGACAATCAAACTGAATTATTGGTGCCATTAAGCGAATTAAGAAAATGTGTAATTAAGTAAAAGATAGATGCAAAGGAGAGATGCAAAAAAACAGAAGGGAGAACGTGTAGATGGGTTTAAGCTTTCTATTGGGAAGCAGATAAAAGAAAAACAAAGGATTTTCACAGTAGAAACTGAACCCAGGTGCTTTGTGCTGCGTAATGGATGCATGGCTTCCAAAACTGTGTACGAGGCACTGCAGCCCCCACCTTCACTATTGATGCAAATACAGCTGGCAGTTCTTTGGAATAGTCTCAACCTCTTCTGCACACTTAGAAACAAACAATTTGACCCTTTCTTCATCACAAAGTAGCTCAAACTCAGACTGGATGGAGAGCATCTGTGGACAGAAATGATCAAGTTGTGCCACAGATTTTCAATTATATTTAGGTCTGAACTTAACGCAGACATTTATTTGTGAGGGTGACATGTCCTGGTGTGCTTTGTTCATTTTCTGCCACACAAGCTATTCAAACCTAAGATAGCATCTCAGTGCTAAACATCCTGAGCGCTAATGTCAGCCATGAATGATCAGGGCTTCCTGAAACACTGGAAAACTGAACGGGTATCTTAGCACTTTGCACCAATCTGATGGCTAAATAGCCTAATAACAGCCTAAACCATAAATGCTAGGAAAATATTTAGCAAGCAACCTCAATATTTAGCTTCTAATTTGAAAGCTAAATATTTAGTTTGCAAGCTAAATATTCCGCTGATGAATTAAGTATATAGTTTGGAACCCTGATATTTATAAATGTATGACTAAAATGGTGAAAATATGACTTTTTCCCCTGTATGACAAGCTAAACAAATGTGTTACTTATTTCTTTTGCTTTGTAACTTTAAAAAGGCTTTTATTATGAAATATTCAGCGGAAATAGTTCCTTTTGCGTTTGTGAACTTGATCTTGTAATACTTTGATAGTTTGGTGGAACCGCCGCTGGAATAAACAATGTATGGTGAGGAGGTTGGGGTCCAGAGGGGGCTTTTAATAACACATCACCGCCATGTTTTACCCCCAAAACTCACCACATGTTTGATTGGGAAGGAAAACATTTTGCGCCTGCGCTCTGAGCCGTACGTCTTTTTTTTTTTTTCAGCTTGAGATATGCTGGTTCTTCTTGAAAATCAGCAGCAGCTGCTTCAAAGCGCAGAGCGACGGCGACGGAAGAATATCGCTGCGATTCATGCGGACCAGATGAACCCGGACCGGACCGGGCCGTCCCGTCTGGAATCAGACACTATGCTCCTCGTGCCTTTTCTCGCCTGACGTAGAAGCGCTCTGCTGGTCGCCTTCAGACGAACTGAGATGGTCCATTTCAGCGATGGCTAAGGGTCTTCTTCCACGAGCCTGGGTGAAAAAGTCTTTCTATTTCCAGGTAGGAACTCTGTTGTGGAAAACAAAAAAAAATCTGCTGCGAGGAAATGGATTGTGGGGGGAAAAAAGAAGAAGAAAGAAGAAGAAGTGATCGTGTTTTGCGTGTCGCTGTCACATCTGTGCGGTTGACAGCTGGCAGTCTGCGTCCTCCTGCTTTGACTCCCTACGCCGCCAGGGAATTACCTGATGAATGTGAATGGCTTGCATTCCCAGTTACTGACAGCCTGGTCTCCACAGGCCTAACCAGGGAGAATGGAAATGAGCAATTGGCACCTTATTGCAAACATAGAGCAGACATCTGGGGACTCTAGATAGTTAGGAGCACTGTCTAGTGGCAAATATTGCACATGTACACTCACACAGCTGGATAATGAAGTTTGGATTTCCACCAGGATTGCACATAAAACACAGTTATTTACGTTAACAACAAAAACAAAAAATAGCTGAAAAAATATGGTTCAAGAGGCCCAATAATCCAGGTGATCAGCTGGAGTGAGTAAATATTGATGACTGATGAGTTCAGCTGTAGATGTTTGGGTCAGAATTTGACTTAAAATTCACATTTAAATGCAGTAACTTATTCGACAGGGACAATGCATATGAATTAAAATTTTTGTACATGTGTCAGAAATGGCCAGATGGCTATTTATCATCCTAGAGATTTAAAAACAAACATAAAAATAACCTTGTTATACAAAACAAGGTTAGAATGGCTTAGCTATACCGATTTCTTCAGACTGAATAAATTCAATTCATACAAAACAGTTAATGTTGACAAAGGAAACTACAATACAATTGTATAATAAGTCACAAACTATTTTTAAGGAGAAATGTGCAACATAAGACAGATAACACTGTACAGGTATTAAAATGACATGCAGTTAACTAACCATGCAAAAACAGAAATATGCCAATAACAGCAGGAATGTTTAATAAAAATTAGGAAACTGCAAATAACACTTAACAGCTGGAAGGAAGGCAGGATCTCCTGTAATGCTCTTTTGTGCAGCTGTGATGCAGCAGCATGTCTCAAGGCCCCCAACAGCTTCATGCATCAAATCTGTTGTCTAACAGTGATGCTATTTCAGACTTGGATTGATTCTTCTTACCAACCAAAGCAGCATTTTTTTTTTTTTACCAAACTGAAGGCTTAAATCAAATTCGTAAATGGACAGCATTATGTAAAATTGACTTTTTTGAATTTTACATCATGAAATAGCAAGTAAGAATGTTATGTACTACACCACCACTTATATTTTATATATTACTTTTTGTGATCGTCTAATTTTATGGTTGATGATGTTATGGAAAGTAAAAGTATGGAAAAGGCGCCAAAAAATAAATGAATAAAAATGAAATATCAAGGAAGGTACCGGTTCTGTAGGAAACATTGTTGAGGACTGCCAGGAATGTAATTGCCAATATTTTCTGGAATGTTCTCACACGCTGCTCACTATTGTCAGCAGCTGTAGAGAAAACATTGAATAGAGTTGAAGTGAATTTGACAGAATGCAAATCAACAGGAAAAACTACCAATGGTTGTACTGAGAAGAACTCTGATAAGCCGCCTTGTGTGATGTCTGCAGACATGGAGGCTTGTTTTGGGGATTGAACAGTCTTGATTAAGCAATGATTTACAGCAAAATAACAAATGCAAAATCTTTGCTGCACAGGCTACCATCTCCATTAATGTGAGTTTTAACTTCATGCCAAGCTTCCCTTCTTGCATACCAGTAATGAAATGGGATGTTAAATCCACCCAGCAGTATCCTTCTAAGGCAGTAACAATCAGTAACCCAGCTCAACAAATGATTCACTTTGCAACATTTGATCCTGTGCTCACTGAGCAGATCTCTTAGCAACAGTTTCCCCAGCAGTTTGCACAAACAGTTTGTTTTATCTATGAAACCATCTTTGTACACAGGAAAAATGTCCAAAGGTCCCAGGCAGTTTGGGCTCATTGGCTCAGTGTGCTGTTGAGAGATGATAACGTCTGTTACCGGTGTGCTTTGACGTGTTAAATGCCACACAGAGGCTCCTATGAAGTGACTTAGAGTCACAGTTAGACTGTTATCAGACCAGCTTGATCCATGTTGACTCGCTTGTTGGCATGTTGTCTGGCTTGGCTTTTTTTTGGTGTGTGTTTTCTTTTTCTGCTCATTGTGCATTTTCGTCTATATAACACTCAAAACTTGCTGATGGCTGTTAAGGGTACTGGCCAGAAAGCTTTAAATGGACCAGATCAAAGGTCAGCTCTTAGCTGCAACTTGACAGCGATACTTTTTACAGTTTAGAATCCCATTTTGGGCATTAAATATGGCACAGTATCAGTGTTGTAGTTAGACAACAGTGGCTACTTTATTGTCACATATCCATACTGAAGCCAGGTACGGATCTTGAGGTCGCCACAGTAGCAGAGAGGCAGTGCCGGCGAGTGAGAAGGGAAGTACTCACTAGTGTCAGCGTTTGGGACTAGCATGTCTGGGCTGACCACCCACTGGATTTTTTTGTTTTTTCTACTGTCCATTAGCACAGATAAGCTAGCGATAGCCCTGATATGCTGGTGTTAGCCTTAGATAGGTTAGCAAGTAGCATATTTTGGCTGCTCATCTTTTCTTTAAATAAAACTTCATCAAGGAAAATGGTTGGACTGCAATATCTAGAAGAACATGCATTAGACGTGTCTAGCAGAGTTTATTGTACACCAAGCAGATACAGGCTGTTATACAGAACTGAGGTTAGCTTCTGAATGAAGCTTCAAATTTGGCAGGTAGCTAAAAGTCGCTCAGTTAGCATTGCTTCCCTTTCATTAATCAGATCAGTAGCTGGTTTCAGACTGCTTGATCGACAAGCTGGATCTGCATTAGTCTGAATTATGGCACTGATACCATTCCGTATTTAGGTAGCTGGATGGCTTATTTAAGGAGTTTATGAGAAACAGTTTCTAATTTGAGATCCCTACTCAAGTTCTAAGAATCCTGCTTGGTAGGTCATACGGCCGGTCGGTTCCAGAGAAAACATTAAACCAGGCTTTAGCCTGCAGGCTGCAATAACTACGAGAGGTCGATGCTTGAAGAAGGTAAACTAAACGTTGGCAGGTGGCAAACCTAATTCATTCAGCCATGCATGATTTATTACACGCTGACCCCTGAACTCTCTGGCTGTTGGTTGTTCATGAAGAGGAGACAATTGGACCTCAGGAATCTGCTGCTTGGGTTTCACTTCTTTATTTCAAAAGGTTTCACCAAATTGATCACTCAACCAACTCAGCATGTCAGGGTATGACTCTTCTGCTGCAGCTTTTTTTTTCTCCACTCTTACCCTTTTGTCTCAGTAATTTTTTTTCTTAGACTTTCTGCACAGACTAGAGTAATGCTTGTCTAAGCAGTTCCATCTGACAATGAAGAGTACCGCTTGTGCTTCCTGTTCTTTCTCCAGGCTCCCTCTGTCTGTGTGTTCATCTCTTTGGGGAAGACATTGTTTGAAAGCTAAACGGTTCACCAAAGGGCAAATCTGTCAAGCTTTAAAAGTGATACTTTGGTTGTTTTTTTTTAAGTGGGACTATCGGGACTAATAATGAGGAGTCAGCATCTCAGTTGCAGTAGATGGCAGTCAGGATGATCTCTATTCAGAGAAGAGACGCTGGGATCATTTAAGTGCACATTTCTGTGGTGTTGAGCCTCTTCAGGCTTTCTCCGTGTCAGAACGCTTACAGGGCAACTGTCAGACACAGAGACGGAGAGGCTCTCGGTGAGAGCCACTCCTCAGTAACTCCTCAGTAAATATGTTTAGAATCACAACTAAACTAAACGTGTAGTCAAAAAAAATCATGCCGACATAAAAAGCTGTCTTGTGAAATTTGGCAAAGTGTAGAATGATTTCGTTTTTCTTTCTGTTTTTACAACAGCTTCTAGTTTTTTTTTCTTTTGGTTGTTAATTGGAATATTTTAGATTCACCTATAGCTGCAAGCTACTCCTGGCTGATGGTTTCCACTCCATGATAATCATATTATCTCACATCACGTATTTGGACTATTGAAATGGGCAGTCAGCAGGGGTTTTTGAGGGGGTCTCAAGTATTCGCAGAGTACAGTGCTTGTGATTCTCCAGAACCACCACCAAGTGGATAATGATAGTCCTCAGAATATGTTGAGTAATTGTGCTAAATCTACAGCTGGAATAAAACAAGTATTTCTATCTGAAGGCGTCTACCAACTCACTCCTTATGAGTCAATATACTTTGTCTTGTGCTATAAATCTTTTTTTAAGCTGCAGGTTTAAGCTCTTTGACCCGAAAACCACAAAAACTTAGTTGAAAATACAATGACTTCATTGATGAACGTTTCATCATCTTGTTCAGAAAAGTTGGGGTTCTTGTCTGTTGGTTTTTGGTTGTCTATGCAAAATTTTCTCATATTACTCCAACATCATGTCATCAATGCACTCAAGCATACATTCCATGTTAATACAGTCATGGGAGAAAGAGAGTGGCTCACCACTCTGAGTTTTGGACTTTTTCTGGGTCACTGGCACATCTGAAATCTTCCTTCAGTCATTCTGTTGTAGATTTGCTGCTGTTTCTGGAATCATTAACATGCTGATGACCCACTTTAAGCCCAGCTTTAGCTGACTGACCGATGGCCTCTGGAAGAATTAAATTCACAACACTGCTTTGGTCTCGACTTCATTCAGAGGCTTCTGACTCAAACAGGTTGTGCTGCGATAGTAAGAGGCTCTCTGTTGTCAGCCCTTTCCAAACAAGCTGTTTTTTTTCTTCTGTCGTTTTCTAATTGGACTGACATGATACGCATATGGACCAATCAGATGATTGATGTAGTTGATTATTATGTGAAAAGGAGCATTCTTAAACTTTTTTCTGCATTTAATAGGGAGCCAAAAAAGGGAAATAAAAATAGATCAAATATGATGTCTTTTATTTTTATCTGGAAGTGAGTAAACTCCCAGAGAACTGAAAGTTCAACTAGACCAGTGCGCTCTGGTCGGATCAAACAAAGATTGAGATTTTCTGTAATTCTCACTTCTTGTGAGTTTGTTGTGAAATCCAGGATAGAGAGGTGGAGGCGCAACCACACCCACTGTGGTGGTGTAGGCCTTAGATCAAAAGGCCTTGGAGAATATTGTTGCATCAAGAACATCACCTGGAGATCTGAGATAATTGGGTCTTACTGGTGGGTACTGACAGACAGAATGGGGTAAATGACACAGAATGAAATCTCAGACAGAAACAACTTCTTTATACCACAGTTCAATGTCTCCAAAAACAGAACAGAATTGCTGCAAATATAAAGTCCGTCATAACAAACAACGGACCCCAGCATGTCCTGTTTACATACTACAGTGATGAGAGCAAATACGAGACAAAAAAAAATAAAAGCGTAGAATCGGCCTCTGGTTCTGTGCAGCTGCAGACTGTGTTTTGTTGGAATGTTCTAGAACAAAATGAGAGACAAGCCATGCTGCCAAAATACACAACATAAGCCGTTCCTGCCATGCGATCAAAGGGAGAATTAAAACGACTTGATCCTCTCAGGAGTGGTTACTGGACTTGGGTTGAAAACCGGCGGCAGCTTTGTCTGATTACTTGTGTATTGTGTCTGATCCGAGCTGTTGACCTATTTTTGTTCTTTTCACTCTTCAACTCTTACTTAAACTTACTTATAATTTAATATTTTCATGAAGCAGTGCTCAGTCATCCAGTTGGACGGATGACGGGCAATTCAGTTTTATGCTACATTTGAAAAATTAGACATTTTCAAACTTGCTGTACTTCCTCGCGAGCTTTCAGATTTAAAGGTTGGTTCCTTTTTGCTTTGTAGAGTTACTTATTGATGTATTTCTATTGGCATAGAGTAAGAAGAGTACTCACTCAAAAAAATAACACATCAAGTAATCTTTAGGAATTTTATCTAGACGCTAAATCCAAACTGCTTCCCCCTGCTGGTTACATAGAAGTATTGCAGTTTGCCTTTATTTTATAAAGAATTGTGAGCCTTCAGTTTCTTCTGCTGGGAGTGAACCTTCAGATGCCAGCTGATCTGGCTAGCTGCTGCAGTCAGCAGCTTTAATGGAGGGTGAATTCCTCTTTTGTGTTGTCAGCCATAGTTCTGTTTTTCTGCCCCACCTCGCCCTGACCTTTGTCGCTTTGGAATTTACTTTACGGGTTGCAATAACATTAACAGTAGGATCTCTGTTGAGACGGACAGAGTAAAGACGTGATAACTGCATCTTGTGACTCCGGCAGGAATTAATTTAGTCCAACTATCTGTGAACAGGACAGGAAAAAAAGTATCTCACTCAATATAAAGTTTAGATGAAGAAAAAAAGGCATCTCCTGCAGAGAGGAAAGTCATGCTGCCTTCGCGAGTAACCCATGATTTGGTCAGGGTGGGTTGTGTGTCAATGTGAAATGTGACTGGATTTCTAGACTACATGTAAATGTTTCATAATGAAACAAGAGCAAAACAGCTATAAACTGCTATATATTTATTACCTAATTGTTTGTCTGCTCTCAAACTATGATTCCGTGTCTCTGGTTCTTCTCTCCAGGCTCGGATCTCCTTTGTGCGGGTGAAGTACCTGTTCCTCACCTGGCTCACCGTCCTGGTTGGCAGCTGGGTTCTCTATGTCCAGTACTCGGCTTACACAGAGCTGTGCAGAGGGCATGAGTGCAAGAACGCCATCGTAAGTGAAACTCCTGAGAATAAAGCAGTGAAATGAAAATAACACAAAGTCACAATAATGACTGTTATAAGTACTTTTCAATGTAAGCCTTTAAATTTTATTATGCAATAAAGATTTTCTGCCTAAACAAACTGGATAATCTTTATTTATTTACCAGAAAATTGTGCTTAAATAAAGAAGCAGTGGCTGAAAAAAATGACACCTTTAGTGTTTCTATGTGAAGTAAATTCCATCCATCCATTTTCTTTACACCCTTGTCCCCAATGGGGTCAGGAGGGGTGTGAAGTAAATTAGAAGTAATTACAGATTAACCAGTAAAGTACTATATAATATATGTGTACATGGAACAGCTACAGAGATCTGTATATATCTGTAACATACAGATATATACAGTGCTAACATGAAGATATATCTCCATGTTGGTCAGAAGTAAAGTTGTCAGGCCTGAAGGCAGGTGTGATAAACAAGGCGTTACAACAATCAAATCTACTGAAAATGAAAACTCGTCATTTTTTTTATTATGTTATTTTTTTAAATCATGTGCTGCATTCTGTTGATATATTTCAGAAGATTTTAGGTCTATGAAGTGAGTTCATGTGCTTGTAAAAGTAGTAACCGTGATCTTCCTCTGTAGCTTTTAAGTTTGTGCACTTTTTTTCATTGCTTAGCATAATGTCTGATCTCTGCCTTTGCATTTTTTGTTATTATGAACAGATTTACTTTGTACCTGTAAGGGACTGTGATTATATGGAGAGATCTGTGTTGTCAGTGTCGGTATGGGGCGAGATGTTGTAGAACTCGATTGCTCCTCTAGCATGTACAAGTATGTCTTTATTAAAAGTATGCTGGGATTGGGATCTTGAGGACCCCCAAAATCTATTTCTGTTTGCTCAAATTCATGAACACAACACACTAAATGGTCCAACTCTGCAAGGTAAGCATAAGACAAAGCCTAAACATGGCTTGTTTTGAAGGATTGCCAGATAAACACTGTGCTCTTTAACGCCTTGCAATGAAATGCAGCTTGATTCTCATCTCCATTCTAGTGTTCTGTCTGGGATTTCTCCCACTGAATTTAATTTCTCTGGATCCGTTTCATTCCAGTCAATCAGCAAACAGGAGTTGTGAACAATGACACTGATTTTCTTTGCTGTTTTAGAATTATAGTCTTCCTATCTAGGGTTGCTTCCAGCAAGCAATCATTTTTCCATAGCTGAGAGTCCAAACCCTATGTTCTGAGAGAACCAGAATTCTCTAAGATTCACCATTTTCTTTTCCAAGTGTGATAAATACAAGAGGGGAATCATCGATGGCTCTGCCTGCAGCAGTCTGTGTGAAAAAGAAACGCTCTACATGGGCAGGTGTCTGTCTACACTACCAAACAACCAGGTAGGAGATGCTATGATTGCTTCTTAAACTGCTATTCACTATCATTCAGTATAGTAAGTGGTGTTTGACTGACCTTCTGCTTTTTTTCCCCAGGTGTACACAGGAAGCTGGGGGGACCACAGCGGGATCATCCGCTGCAAACTGGGGGAGGTGGGTCACTATGAGCTGGGCGAGGAGCCAGAGCCACGAAGAGAAACTCCAGTGTTCGATAAGCCTAACAGAGGAACCTCTGTTGAGAAGTTCAAAGAGATGCTCTTCAACCATCTCAAGGTGGAGGAGCATCCTCCTGACTGATTCAAGTTTGCACAGAACTAAATCCTCGATGGATGAAAACCTTACATGTCTTCCCTTCTCTACCAGTCCAAGCTTGGGGAGCATGCGGACCTTCCCAGTCTTGTCAGCCAGATCCTCACCATAGCTGATGGCAACAGAGATGGACGAGTGTCACTCCCAGAGGCTCGTTCAACGTGGGCCCTTCTGCAAATGGATGAGGTATCTCACATGGTAGTTTAAATGTTCTAGCTTATGGATGAAGAATGACCTTATTGTGGTCCTTCAATAAGATTAATCAGGTTTGTCTTCAAATTGAAACAAAAAGCCTCAGTTTTGCTATTTAATTCTGGTTGAATGGTTGGGAAATCTTTTTATCAGAAATGGTGGAACTCCTTTCATTTCTCAGAAAATTCCCACTATTTGGGGGGGTCATTGATGTTGGGGTCAGTTGGGGTCAATGACGTTGGGGTCAATGACGTTGGGGTCATTGATGTTAGGGTCAGTTGGGGTCAATGACGTTGGGGTCAATGACGTTGGGGTCAGTGACGTTGGGGTCAGTGACGTTGGGGTCAGTGACGCTGGGGTCAGTGACGTTGGGGTCAGTGACGTTGGGGTCAGTGACGTTGGGGTCAGTGACGTTGGGGTCAGTGACGTTGGGGTCAGTGACGTTGGGGTCAGTGACGTTGGGGTCAGTGACGTTGGGGTCATTGACGTTGGGGTCAATGACGCTGGGGTCAGTGACGTTGGGGTCAGTGACGCTGGGGTCAGTGACGTTGGGGTCATTGAGGATTCTTGATGTTTCTCTACTAATGTTGTTGCAAAATTTGTGCTGCTGCATGTTTGCAGTGTCCAAATGCTCAACTGTGACCATGTTTCAACCATCTAGTTGTTGATTTGAGTTGAAGGAGAATTTGGAAGTATTCCACCTCATCCATTATTCTCTTTGGTTTGTGCAGTACACCTGTACTTCTGGCAGGGAACAAGACCCTTAGCTTGGTGGTACAGTGCAAAATCCAAACATTCCTGTAGTCGTTTACTAAACAACTCAAAATTTGTTTAGATCATGTTATTTTGCAGTTTCATCACTGTTGTGTCCAACCTCCGGTTTATTGTCTGCTTGAGTCTTGTTTATTTAGAAAGACTTTAACTAATTTCCTTTCATCGATTGTTGGCAGTTTGGGTCAGATTGTTGAAACTTTGACCCAGTTGGTTGTTCCTACCAGACAATAATTTCAAACACAGGTTAGTTTTGGAAAGCTTGCATTGGGCTTCAATAGACTTTCCAAAGTTATGCCCCCAAACCTTTAGAGGATTGATCGAACCTGCTTCAGAGTAAGAAAACGGTTCGATTTTATGTATTGATGCTGAATGTTTTGCTGTCGGCTTGTGGTGACACAGATTTCTACTCTGTTCATTGAGGTTCTGCTGGGCCTGCTGCTCCAGGACCGTGGACATACACCCCGGCTTCTTGGCTACTGCGGAGATCTCTACATGACAGAGCAGATCCCCAACGGGCCCCTCTATGGGTTCTCATTGCCTTGGCCTCTTGTTTCCTGGGTGCCAGGAGGTTTGCAGCGCACCATGGACCAGTGGTTCACCCCTTCCTGGCCTCGCAAAGCTAAAATCTCCATGGGCCTGCTGGAGCTCGTGGAGGACATTTTTCATGGTACCTATGGGAGTTTTCTGATCTGCGACCTCGCTGCCATGCACTTTGGTTACACCAACCGCCATGAGCTCCGGCTCATCAACACGCAAGTGTTGGTCCCTGAAGAGGAGTTCAAGCGCACCATGAGAGCCCTGAAGTGTGAGACAGACGCCGACTGTGTGTATGGAGCGGACTGCCAGACCTCATGCGACTCCTCTGAGAAGCGATGCAGGGAGGAGCCGGTTCAGCCCAACCTAGCAAAAGCGTGCGGCGTGTTGAAGGACTACATCCTGCGTGGGGTGCCTTCAGAAATGAGAGAGGAGCTGGAGAGGCAGCTGTATGCCTGCATGGCTCTCAGAGGTAACGCTGGTCAGATGAACATGGAGCACTCGCTCATCCTCAACAACCTGAAAGCTCTGCTGTGGAAACGGATCTCACACACCAAGGACTCATGATGTTTGGCATTGTCGTTTTGAAACCATGATCATCAGGTCTCCAAGTGGAGCAGAGTGAAAGCAATGCTGTGATTTATGAGTAGAATATATATTGAAATCATATCTATCACCTTCTAACACTTGTGAATAGAGATGCACTGATGAGAACTTTGGGGCCAATTTCGAATTTCTATAAAGGATGATCAATTTTCACACTGCGATTTCTCTTTTAAAACTAGTGTGAGACAACACTAAGACACGATTCCAAATATTTTTCAAGCCTGTTTGCTGTGAGCGGCCATATTTAAATGGAGCAGAAACAACAACAAGCAGGTGTGTGAGAGCAGTAGCTTTGTAGCAAAGTTTTATTACTGTTTTATAGTCAAGAAAAAAAAGCGATTGGACATTTTCAGCTGGATTTAGCATTTTATTAGAGATTAGCATAGTTAGTATTAAACAGTATTATTGATGTGTAATCTCTTTAGAGTATTTTGATATTTTCAAATTCAGGATGTTCCCTTTAAAGATAGAAGTTTAAATTTCAAACAATTAGAACAAAGCACCTTTACCATGATGCGTTCAGCCTTCCTATTAGGTTTTGCCCTCCTCCTGAAAGGAGGTGCTCTAATTCATCTTCATTTTGTAATGCAGTGTGATATTTAAGTGCAGCACCTTAATTTAACTGTTTGAAACTATTTGAAACACCAAATGTACTGTAAATAAGTTAGCAAGTTTAATATCTTTTGTTTTTACTCCTTGGAACAGGTGTGTAAAATATACAACCACAACAAAATAAAATCAAATGATGCCGCTGGGGGGCCCCTGGTGGTGTTGGGGCCCCAACACCACAGCTGCTTTACTTGCATTTGACCGGGGCCAGTTAGAGTAGGATTTTATTTTTAGTTTCTCACCAGTCAGGTCTGGTTAACCAAGAAAAAACAACAATTTGCTGCGCCTTTATTCTTACAAATGATAAATCCAGTTGACCTACCTCCTCTCTTCCTATTCTAAAAGTTTAGGGCCTAAAAGCTGAACTCAGTGATTGTGTGTTCTCATCAGGCAAATCTGAAACAAGTCATAGATGGTAACGTTGTCTGTTGTTCACCGCGGTGGAACGTTATCTTTGAGATAATGACTCAGTAACGAATTCACTCGTTCTGCCAAAACCCTCCTGCAGCGAATCTACATCACCTTTACTCTGATATGAAGAAGTATTAGAAAATCAGAGTGCACTTTTAAATAGGATGAGATAAATATTTCATCTAATCCACAGGGGACCACTGTTGGCACTTGCACTCCTTTATTTTTTGAACTACATTTAGAAAACAAAACAACACAAAATATAAACAAAACATGCACATCAAAAATGAAGCTTAAAACTGTTTTATATCTCACTAAATGACAGTTTTTGAGGTTAGAAAACAAGATTCTTTCCTACACGCTTAGAACACACCATGACTTTAGTAAACTCAAACAGTGATAGAAAGATGAACTACAACGAGGCAACATAACACTGTTGACGTAAACTATGGTACAGCTGCTTAGATGAACCTTCTATCAACAAGAGATCTTGCTGTTCTTTTAAAGAAGCTTTGCTTTCAGTTTCTTATTATCACAACATGAGATGTAAAGTCATTGCTGAAGCTGGAATCTGAAAGTTGAGAGCTGGTCAAAGGTTTACATTATTGTGCTGGATTTCCTGATTTTCAACAGGCTCTTTCTGGGCCCAATGATTGTACAACAAGGTGTGTTTGTGTCTTACAGGTTCAGGCCGTTTGATGTGATCATAGAATATGCTGTCTGAACTGTCTTGACAATTTCCTTTTATCAAGGGTGACAGTTTGGGTCAGAGGAATGAGACGTTGATGCTGTCGGGTGTTCGAACTGGAAAACAGTTCAACGACATTTCATAAATGTTTTGGTAATGCATAAAGCCAACTAACAATGGAGCTGACCCTAACCCACACCACTAACGGCCCGTTTACTCCCTGTAAATCAGCTGTTAATAAGCTCAGGCTCCATGTAAAAACAGAAAGGGAACCAGAAGCTTCCTGTTTTCAAATAAACCAAGCATATCCAACCCTGGAAACAAAGCATTACCATAGGTACTGCTAAGTTAGAATGACATTCTGGCAAATGTGGCCTACTAATTGTGTTCAAAATGATAGAATTGAGATGTTTTTTTTTTTTTTAAATGATACATTTATTTTCAGAAACAGAAATGCATTAGAGAGGAAGAACATGCAAACTCCATGCAGAAAGACCCGACGCTGGGATTCAAACCCAGGACCTTTTTTCTGGAAGGCAGCAGTGCTACCAACTGCTTTCCTCTGTAAAGTATTTGAGATCATTCTGGTAGATCAGCCTGTTACTTTCAGCAATTCCATTTCTGCTCTCCCTTCAATCAGCGTTTCAGTCAAAGAAGCTTGTTCTGGACAACGCCTGGACCAATATTCCTCTCCTTCATCCTTTAAATGAGAAACCAACTGCTTAACAACTAGAACCTCAACTGATTGAATTTCACACTATTATTTTGAACTCACCCCCTTTTAATTAATGGGTACTTTACCCAGAATCAGCAGACTGCAGGACATGTCAGCTGGTTTTCCATTTCTCCACTCCATCTAGAGCTAAATCATTTTAGCACCTAGAAATATTTCTACTAAAAACTGATGAGTCGGTCTGATGTCGCTATTTTGAACATGATCTTAAGTGTTGAAGATTGTGAACCGACTGATGGCTAAGAAATGAAGATCAGAAAAGCTTTGACTTGTCCAGGTTAGCATTGTCTGAGATGGTAAGACAGGATAAACTGTACTCTACTCCAAACTGTGACTAAATGGAACTGCGTAAACCTTTGACCTCAGTGACAGGCCTTCATTTCAGTCTGAATGTCTTTATGCTCTCGAGCACAGGAATGTTTTTCAAAAATGTCTGTTTTCGAACTAAGATAATCCCTTTTGGCGCCATGTTTGTTGACATGATTAGAATTAGTGGGTCAATCATGACTATGACACTGCTGCAGAACACAGTGGTGGATGATCTTTCCTTTTATAAAGGATGTTTCTGAACGTAGCAAAACCAATCTCGGTGTTTGTTCTGCCCATGTCTTGAAAGAATTCTTTTATTATTATCAGACCAGAATATGGAGGTTCAGATTTTCTCCACTGCTTTTGTCCGGATGAACTCTGAAGGACACGGATCAGGACCCATCTTGCTGTGTATCTGTGTTCATCATTCGCTGTACCGGACAAAAACCTTCACATATAAATTTTTCATGTTTGTATTTCTCACTAAAATAATCTGTAAAATGGTCTATTTTTAATCCTGTGTCACACATGATGCTGAAGTTATTTTAAGAATGTTTACCGTCGATGGAAATGTGATCTTAGACACCCAATGCTGAATTATTTTTTTATCATTCCTTTTCATTGTAGTTGGATTCAAGTATGATTTCAACCACTGAATTGTAGACTGAACTGACCTGTAGAGCACATCAACATTGCAGCCAGTGCTGCCTTGAGTTGTGATGTTTACTATTTGAAGAAACCAGCATGATTTTTGCACAATTAAATGCCATACCACTTACTGTCCTGAATGTAATGCGTCTTTATTAGAATTTACTGGAGAGTTTGAGCTCCAACATTTTAAAAGATGAGTTGTTAAAACAAGTTGATGTTTGTTTTAAGCAGAAATGACTCAAAAGAGAAAACCAGTAGAAAAATGTTTAACTTTGACCTCAAACTGAATCAGAAAACACTAAACCAGAAAGTGATTATCATTACTTGTGTTGCATGTTCTTTTAAAGTCACTGTTAGAACTGAAAATACCATCTTTACCATCTTATAGAACCAAGCAATCAGTAGGATTTTATTGTACATGCTCAACAGGCCGGCTACTGTCAGCAGTTTAAAGCTGCACTGATTGCAGATTTATGGCAGATCACTGATCTTTAAAAAGCCTGACTTGCCAATTCCAGTTTTATCCAATTTTTCAATTACAAAACAAAAGATTCTGATTCACTTTGAAAACGCTTGAGGTCCAGGGTGAAGTTTTCAGTCAGTCATGACTCGGGGAGCGAATCTGAATCAGCAGCAGTTGGTCTTCTGTTTTATTTAGTCCAAAAGTTTGAGCAGCCGCCTGGGAGATGGTAGAGCGCTCGATGCTTTCTCTCCCCTATAAATATTTTATGTGGATGCCAATTAAATTTAGATTTTTAGTTAATGCTCTAATGACTATGGTACGGTTGTGCTGATGGAGCAGCAGACTGGAACTCCACGGGCTGTTAAAGGCAAGGTAAGACACCAGAGGTGACATTAATAGCTGCTGGGTTTCCTGAACTCCTCAGGCTGACCTCCACGCCATGCTGCACCTGAAAGTTATTGATTCAAAAAGAGCCCCAATCACGTTTTGAGTGCATTTGCTGTATGGTACTGATGGCAGATTTTAAATACATTTTAAGTATGATTTTTATTCCTACATGAATCCAAATCATTCAGATTTAAACAGTTCCAAGTCTTAAAGGGGCAGTATGTACTTTCCAGCCATTAAAACTTAGTACAGGAATGGGAAATCCTGGTCCTCAATGGCTGGCGTCCTGCAACTCCTGGATTTGTTCCTGGTCCAACACACTTGAATCCAAAAGTTGAATCACCTCCTAAGTGCAGTCAAGTTCTCCAGAGTCCTGATTATGACCTCATTATTTGACTCAGGTGTGTTGAAGTAGATACATCTAAAAGTTGCAGACCGGCCCTCGAGACCTAGTTGCCCACCCCTACTTGGTAACACAATCAAGTAACTATGTCACCTTTAATTGTTATAAAAATCCTCTATCCCTCAAATATGACTTAAAAGAAATTCAACTTTACAATTTAATCCCTTGAAATTGGGCCTCCGTCTCTTTAATAAACTTGCTCTTTCCAGTACTCCACCTCCAGGAAGTCATCACAACATGGCTCCTCTATTAACCATTTAACATCTTTAATCAGTGTTGGACTAAGATGAAGCTCCTATAAGCAGCTCAGCAGATGCATACTTCATCAGGTGTTTGCTAATTGCCGCTGACTAGTCTGAAGGAGCAGAGTGGGCGGAGCTTTGTGAGGCATAGCTGAAGCTTGAAAACTGCAGCTCAGAGGAGCAGCACCTCTGTCCCTCCCAGGCGTTTTACATGGGAGATGAAAGAATCATGAAAGAATCAAGACAACACTCCAGGTATGTTTTTGATGAGGGAATAAAAACCTGACGTATGTATATTTTAAAAATATATACTTTACACAATACTGCCCCTTTAACTTTAATGTATCAAAGACACCATTACTGACTGACAACTTAAAGTACTTTTATATAAAACATTGAGACGCAGTGCTTTAACCTGAACCACGAGACACCAGTAAGAGCAGAGACACAGGATTGACTTTAATAGATTTATTTGTCTGATGCATTCTTCCGCTAACCGTCCCCAGCTTCTTGTTCTTGCGCTCGTAAGAAGCTGGCCTTTTTCTGGGCAACGCGGTTCTTCCTCTGTGCCAGGGATAACTTGGCGCGGTTCCACCTGCCAGACGACAGACAAAAAGCCAATTCATTAACATTCACGACATCAGCAGAGAAAAAGTAGGCCCACCTACGAAAGGCATTCTCCATGCAATACACCAGAAATCTGCCATTAAACACATGCAGTTTTTTTTTTAAATAAAAAGTCTACATTTCTGAGTCGAGCTGGACTCACCTCTTCTTTGTGACGTCTTTTTTCGGTTTCTTTTCATGGACGGGATTGGCTCTGATGGCGGCGTGTGCTTTCTTATACATCTCTTCAACCTGAAAGCAGAATTGGATCATTTCAACGGTGGATCAGCAACATCTCAGTCTTCAGAAGGATTCGCTGTGCTTCTCTCAGACCCGTCTTGAAAAGGACAGTGGACATCAGCCAGTGCCAATGAAGGACCAACTACATTGAGCTCAGCCGCTAGTTTATCATCACTGAGAAGCAAATTCCAGGACAAGAGCTGAGCAGCAGAATGTTTGGTGAAGTTGGTTTTCTTTCTGAGCAGGAGGGGATCCTACCGTGTCCGGTGCCACTCCGTTCTTGATGAAGCGGGAGAACTGCTTCTTGTAGGCGTCCTCGTCCTCCTCCATCAGGTAGGACATGTAATCCGCTACATTCATGCCCATGATGTGTTTTCGGTGCACCTCTGCGTTGAACTCTTTGCTCTCTGCGTCGTAACCGGGGAAACGTTTCAAACTGCACGGAACAAGATAAAAGAGTCAGGAAGTGAAGTTCGGACTGATTCTACTTTTCCTAATGAAACCTGAGCCAACAGAAAGGACAGTAAACATCAGCCGGTGCAAATGAAGGACCAACTACATTTTGCTCAGCGTATGTTTATCATCACCGAGAAGCAGAGAAGAACCAGGGACGGGGTGGGACGTGTTGGACTAGTTTGACCTTCTGCGTCACAACAAAATGAAGGACCAGTTCCAGACGCGCTGCAATGTGACGTCACACGCACAACAGAAGGGAGTCTTCTCTTTTTATAGAATTTAGGATGATCATTTGTGGAGCCAATTGTGCAACAAAACTTTGTTTGTGCAGAATTGGAATTGGATCTAGAAGGTATGTTGATTTTTACTCCAGCTCTTTCGTGGCTGTGTGCTGACATTTATCTGGCTGCAAGGCAAACAGCTTCTGGTGAAACGTTAACTGCATTGATGCAGCCACATGTTTCATGGAGGTTCTGCTGTAAATATTAACCAGCTGTTCAAAAGGAAAAGGGACAAAACAACAAGTGAGTTGTTTCCAACCCTGACCTGTCCTTCTGTTTACGTCCATAAATCCAAATTAACAGAAGCTGATGAAAGAAGGCAGAAACTTGAATACGCACAAGACTAAGTGACTCCAAAAGAACAGCAAATCTGATTATTTTTAGACAACCAGTCCAGAAATAATTCACCTAGATGTGCTTTATTAAATGTTTCATAATCAAAACGGCTGACAGAAAGAGGCTGCATTCATCAGATCCACTCATTATGAACTGTTTGATTTACATATTGTGCTCAGGTTTAATGCAGTGTTGATGCTTCACCCCTAGCAGCAGCTCTGACCTCTCATTAACCTGCACCATCAACTGTGGAACAACTTTCCACAAAAACCTGAGGCAGAAACACGCCTGCAGTAACAAACAGGAAACCAACATGGCTTCAGCTTCACTGTTTATTAATACTCTGTGTGGCAAATTGGTGACTGTATTGTAATTATGCCCCTCTATTATACCAAAGAAAGAAAAATGAGCATCACAATATAGAGCAAGTATGTCATCATCTCAATATTCATATAGCAAAGAACTGCTTACATGGCAATGACTGTAATAAACTAATTTTTTTATGATAATACAACTGGTGCACCTGACTTTCTTTCTTCAGTTTTACCTGAGAACAAACCCAACAAAAAATAAATCCGAATTAACTGGACGATTGGAATCATTTCACAGGCGGTCAGATATCGCCATCTGCTGACCATTTTGGTTGTGGAGTCTTTCATACTGTTTGAACTGTGTCTGAAGAATCTCTGCTCCTTACAGCCCAATCTACTCCACGCCTTGATACAAACATTATTCTATCACTCACACACAAACACACGCACGCACGCACACACTGACCTGTGAGGAATGGCCAGGCCTCCGTCCACTGCCCCCTTCAGTGCTCCAAACACCTTGTTCCCTGTGGTGGTTCTGGCCAGCCCAGCATCCAGGTAGCAGGTGAAGGCGCCCGGCTGCCCGTCCACACTCTCCACGTTGAACTCATCTCCCGTCACCTCCACCTGGCCCTCGTACACCTGATCCATGCCAAACTTGTGCAGCAGCTACAAAGAAAATAGTTTTGGGTTTTTTTTCATTGTCGTTTCGTTTTATTTGTTGTGACTTTTGGCCTGTCAAATTCAGTTTTAATTAGCTTTCAGTGTCAATTTACAAGTTTTTCTTAGTTATTATTGGCTGTCATGATGTTTACATTGCTTGGGTAGTGATTGCTCAACAGAAGATTCTGTTGAAAAAGTTTCAGTATGTTTCAGTTAGTTTTATAAACACATGATGTAGTTCCAAGTTAGTTATTTTTTCCCCTCCTTAATTGCCGTTTTTAATCATTTCAGTTACCGAAAATGTCTTCTCAGTTTCAGTTTTGCTTGGCTTTGATGACCTACAGTAACCTTGGTGAGAAGAACAGCTGTGGAGGTGTAGAGGTCAGATCTTTCTGTGGTGGCGTGCTCACCCTGCGGGCCAGCAGCAGCCCGGTGCAATACGCTGCAGCGTAGTTGGTGAGCCCCACGTTGATCCCATATTTGGGCAGCTCATGGGAGTAAGCGGCGCTCACAATGTGATCTCCCTCGATCTTTGAGTAGGCGATCTGGACGACAGGAAACAGAAGACGGTAAATTGGACCTTTATTTTTTTTAAAGGAAAGTTTAAGTGTGTGTGTGTCAGAGGCTAACCTGGCAGCAGATATCCCTGTTGGACATTCGGACGATCAGCCGGTACTTGGGGGTGTTGTACTTGTTCTTGTCCTGAACAACCAGCCGTTTGCGGGCGTAGAAATCTGTTTTCCC